CTCTTAAGAAAAAGATAGCCAGAATATATGGCAGACAGGGCCAGAGACTCCTTCCTTCTATAATGCTTCTTCCTCTGGTTTTGTCACTTGGGCTGATCGTGTACACTGTGTTTAGCCTAGGAACTCAAGCTTTAACGTAGATGGGTCATTGTAACCAGCTTGCTTAGTTTTACCTCGCAGTAGGTAAGTTTGAGTAAATAGGGACAAATAGAGAAAAATGGCTCATAAAGCACCTCTTCCTTATCTATACATCTCCCTTTTCCATATGTATTTCTGGAGCTACTGCTTTGCCAAATCTTACATTCTTCCCCTATTTCCTAACCCTTACAATACCACTTTCTCTTCTTCTTTGACTTTCTGAATTCCTTCATCCTGTGTATTTTTGGTAACACATTTCCCTTTTCAGGGAAAAAAAAACACACTAAGAGACAAAAGCTTATAGCTTTTTGTTTTAAAATAGTAAGTGTATCTGTTTTATGGCCCAGTGTCTTTTTTGAATGCATCTGTGTCAGTAAGTTATCCCTATGAAAGGAGATAACATTTTTTACTTATTTCAATCCCTAAGTGTCCTTTACATGTCATAATCTCAGTAACTGTTATTGATGGAAGGAGAAGAATTATTGAAATCTTTGGTCCTTTTAGGATTCTCTGAACCAGCAGCTTGGGATTATTACAAACTGCAGTCTCCCCCTTGCTTGTTATGTTTCCTAGGCTCATCAGAAGCTACAGGCCTCACTCTCAGTAGCTGTGAATTCCATCATGAGTATTGTGACTGGCAGCACCAGCAGCAGCTTCCGAAAGATCTGCTTCCAGGCCCTTCAAGTTAGTAGGATGCTTTAAAATGCCAGGGTTTTAATGACATTCTACTGCCTGTCTTAGTACTATGTACAGTGCTTTTAGAAACATTATTTCATTGGTCCTGCTGTGATCCTACATAGTACCAGGCCTGTGGTAAGTGTTTTAAGAAATATTCGTTGAATGGATAGTGGTGTGTATAAATGAGAAAACAAGTTTTTTTAAATTTCTACTTCCTTTAGGTCACACAGTAGTTAATGAGAACAGTTCAGACTAGATCGGTGATTCCCAATTCCTTGTTGAAGAATGTTCTGTTACCTTAGGTGACAGAATACATTGGAAATATCGGAGCAGCCATAGGTGTTACTTGTATTTGGTGGTATGGAACGGTAAAAACAAGTTTTGGAAACAGAGGCCTGAGTTTAAATCTTGGCTTATTTACTTATTAGCTGAGTGCATTTAGGGCTGAACTTTATTCTCCGACCTTCATCTATAAGTTGGAAAAAATAATAATATCTCAGAGAGTTATTATGAGGGCGAGGGCTAAATATGAAAGTGCATAGCATGTGGTAAGTTCTCAATGTTAGTTTCTTTCCTTTTTTTTAGGAATGTGTGCTGACCACTCAGTATTATCAGTGGGGTAACACATTAATTCCATATCTGTGGCTTCATTTTTTGTACTTTTTTTCTTGAAAAGATAGTATAATACATACAAAATTTTAAGTATTAATAAACTATCACTAAAATTTTGCATAATATCTCATATATATTTTGTACTATATAGTTGTAACCAAAGTATTCTATATTCATATGTAATTTGACATTTCCCTGTTTCAACGGTCTTAGAATTTGTATTGGTAACCCAATATTCCACTGTTCTGGTTTAATCTAATTTAATAAATTAGATTAATTAATTCTCCTAATGATAGACATTTAAGTTGTTTACATTCTTTATGCCAATACCTTTTACTTTCTGAATTCCTTCATCTTGTGTATCTCTGGTAACCTGTTTCTTACTTCATATGGCCCCCTTTTCAGGGAAAAAACAGCCACACTAAGAGACAAAAGCTTAAAGCTATTTGTTTTTAAATAGTAAGGGTATCTGTTTCATGGCCCATTGTCTTATTGATTGTAACTTCAGAGGTCTTGCTTCTTTTGAATTATTTTCTAGAATAAATTTCTATAAGTGGAGCTACTGGGTCAAAGACTGTAACACTTTTATAATCTAGTGCATCTTATCATAGCGTCAGCTTTCTGGGTCATGTGAATAGTACAGGGCAGTGAGAAGAACATGATATTAGCAGTCCTGCGGTCTTCTCTAACTTTTGTACCAACTAGCTGTGAGATCTTGGGTTGGTCATTTTTTTTTACAATTGCAGTTTTCTCATCTGTGAAATTAGTATGTTGTTTTAAGGTAATTACTCTGGTACCCTAATATTCTACACTTCTATACTAAAAAGTAGAGGCTGTTACCCATTCTTTATGGATGCAAACTGTATTATTTTGTTCTTTGCCTCTGTAAAAGACTTATGTGGGGAAAAGTTCTTATGTCAGCCTAGTTGTTCAGTGGAACTTCTGTTCCCTTTGAACTTATTTAAGAGGAAAGCAGTTTACATTACCCCTTCACAAAGAGATGGATCTCTGGGATATTTTCTCCTGTGGAGATAGGAGAACAAAGACCTTGTTTGAAAGATCTTGCCTAGGTCACAGAAATTGGAAGAAATATAGGAATCACAACTACCCGTCTCATGCCTTCTTTCTACTTCTCCTATGTCCATAGGAACTAATGAAACTCCTGACATGATGTGAGCAATGGCAGTGGTTTGCCTTCCTATTTGTCTTGTCTTCTTGTATAAACTTCCTGTGGGTACTTGCCCTTTGGTTGCTAGTACTGGAATTCAGCACATTATATCTCTGGCCCATTTTAGGCAGCTGACACACAGGAGTTTGGGACCAAACTGCACAAATCATTCCATGAGATCACCCAGCACCGATTTCTCCACCACTGCTCATGTGAGGTGAAGCAGGTAAATCTAAAATAATAACCAGTATTTTGGTGGAAATGTTCCATTTTGATATATGTAACTGAATATAGGGTGGGTTGGTATAGGCACTTTAGACTGTACATTTTGAGGTTAGCCTTTCAGCAAGGAAGACTGTGGTTTAGAAAAACTATAGAATGTAGTATTACATAGAGGTTAATAGCATGGTTAGATGTCGCTTGGATTCCATTTCTGTCACTATGTAGTTGTGTGGTATTATTGTGGAAGCTGTTTAACCTTTCCAAGCCTCAGGTTCTTTATCACTAAAATTTCTGATGTATACCTAAATGTTTGTTGTGAAGTTTGAATAAAATTATGTATGTATGTAAAGTGCTAACACATAGCTACTCTTATAATGGTGATGGTATGATGGAATTTTTAAGTTTAGTTTGGCCTTATCAAACCCATGCTTTTATCCACTTTTTTGAATGCTGGAGATATAAAGTTGCATTGGAGTTTCTACCCTCAAGGAGGTCAAATAGTTCTGGTTTTGTGACAAGTTCCTCTAACGAGTGAAGAGAAATCATAGCTGGGAAATTCTGTATCTTGATTCCAGGTGTCACTGGAAGTAGTGTTCCAACTGAAGCCCATCCTTCTGGCTCTTTAGGCTCAAATCAGTAGGATCGACTTTTTTTTTTTTTAACTAAAGTATAAGATGAGTAAATAAAAAAGATTAAGGGTGAAATTATTATACAGTAGCTTCTGACCAAGATGGAGTAGCAGGGACAGGATTTACCCTTCTGCTTGAAATAACAAATCTGGACACAACATCTGAAATAATGGTTCTCAAGACATCGAGCATCAGACAATAAATGGGATAGTCCTTCCTGAGAGATGACAAACAAGCGCAGTTAGCCTTATGATTTCCCTGGCATACTGTCTGGAGAAGGTACGGAGGCCATGGAACAGGGAGAAAGGATATAGGCAAAGCCTAGTGGTCTCCTTGAGTTGAATAGATGAAGCTGGGAATCTAAGGAGTTTTCAGGGCAGAGTACCAGAGAAGAGAGAGCTGCACAGAGAGAGAATTCTGGAGATCGGCAGAGGTTCTCCCTCTGGTATTCATTTTAATACTGATCAGCTTATTCATGTGAAGAAACTATCCAGGTAAAGAACCATCCAGAAAGATTAAAGGGAAGAATATGCAGATCTCATACAGGGCTAGGAATAGTGACTATTCCTATGACCCAGAAAGAAAAGCTCTGTAATTTATGGAGCATCAGGCAGAATACTAAGGAAGATCTTGCTTTGAGAATGGAGAAAAATTAAACCTACAGTGAGCACTCTTCTGGTCCTGCCTAACAAAGCCTAAAAGCAGAAGCAAGACCTAAAAAGATTAAGTGTTTCCAGGTAATTCAATGGCATCACAGAACTAAGTTTAAGTATATTTATAGGAATACAAAAATATCCAGTACCTATCAGGTACAGTGCTTTGCATCCAAAGAAAACGTTAGCAGACATACCAAGAAACAGGACAGCATGACCCACAGTGGGGAAAAAACTTAGTCAGTTAATCAGTTATTCAGCGAAAACTGATCCAGAACTGACGCAGAAGATAGAATTAGTAGACAAAGATATTAAAAGTTATTATTATAATTGCATTCCATATGCTCAGGAAGCTAGAGGAAAAATTGAACATATTAAGTAGAAATGTGGAAGGTATTAAAAAAAAGACCCTAAACAAACTTTTAAGTTAAAAACTATGATATTTCTGAGCTAAAAATTATACTAAATAGTATCAATGGCACAGTAGACACTTACGGAAAAACACACAGCAATGAAACTATCTGAAATACAGAGATTTTAATATATAAAACCAAAAATAATAGAGCATCAAGCATCTGTGAGTTATGGGACAACTTCAGATAGCCTAATATATGTGTAATTGGAGAATGTGAAGAAGTGGAAGCAGAAAATACATTTGAAGAAATAATGGCTGAAAAATTTTCCAATTTGATAAAATCTATAAATCTCACAGATCCAAGAATCTTAACAAACCTAAGCTCAAGAAACAAAGAAAACTACACCAAGGAACATCACAATTAAACTGATTAAAATTGGTGGTAAAGAGAAAAATCTTAAAAGCAAAAAGAAAACCTATTGTGTACAAGGAAACAAAGATAAGGATTACAGCAAATTTCTCATCAGAAACAGTATAAGCTAGAAGAAAATGGAGCAGCATCTTTATAATACTGAAAAAAAGTCAACCTAGAATTTTTACCCAACAAAAATATCTTAAAAATAAAGATGAAATAAGGACTTTTTCTGAGATGATGATACAAGAGATGAAAGAATTTATTATCAGCAGATGAGAAATGTGAAGGAAGTCCTTCAAGTAGAAGAAAAATGACACCAGATGGAAACCTGAGTCTACACAAAATAATGAAGAGTAATGAAAATGGTAACTATGTGGGTAAATATAAAGACTTTTTTCTTATTTAAATTTCTTTAAAACAATTAACTTTTTCAAGCAAAAAAATAGTAGTAATGTATTGTGAGGTTCATAACCTATGTAGAAGTAAAATATATGACAACAATAACACAAAGGCCAGGAGGAGAGAAATGGAAATATACTCTTGTAAGGACTTATACTGTAGAGAGGTATAATATTACTTGAAGGTAAACTGATAAGTTAAATGTGAAAGGAATCATCAGAATAACACAAGCCATTTAATAAGCCAAGAAAGGATAGAAAATGAAATCATAAAAAATATTCAACCCTCAAGAGAATGAGAAGACAAGCCACAAAATGGGTGTAAATATTTATAAAAGACATGTCCAATTAAAGGACTGTTATCCAAAATATACAAAGAACTCTTAAAACTCAACAATTAAAAATAGGCCAAAGACCTTAACAGACACCTCACCAAAGAAGACGTACAGATGGCAAATTAGCACATGAAAAGATACTTCACATTATCTATATCATTGGGAAAATGCAAATTAAAACAAGATATCACACACCTATTAGAATGGCCAAAGTCCAGAACACTGAATAATACCAAATGCTGGTAAGGATATGAAACAACAGGAATTCTCATTAGTTGCTGGTGGGAATGCAGAATTGTACAGCTACTTTGGAAGACAGTGTGACAGTTTCTTACAAAACTAAACATGCTCTTACCACGTGATGTTAATCATGCTCCTTGGTACTTACCCAAAGGAATTAAAACTTAGGTCCACACAGAAACCTGCACATGGATGTTTATAGCAGCTTTCTCCATATTGCCCAAACTTGGAAGCAGCGAAGAAGTCTTTCAGTTGGTGAGTGGATAAATAAACTGTGGTTCATTTGGATGCTGGAATATTATTTAGCACTGAAAAAGAAATGAGCTATCAAGCCATAAAGAGACATGAAAGAAACTTAAATAAATAATGCTGAGTAAAAGAAGCCAATTTTAAAGGGCTATATACTATATGATTCCAAGTATATGACATTCTGGAAAAGTCAGAACTATGGAGACAATAAAAAGATCAGTGGTTGCCGGGGGTTATAGAGGATGGAGGAATGAATAGGTGGAGCACAGAGAACTTTTAGGGCAGTGAAAGTACTCTGTATAAAATTATAATGGTGGATACGTGTCACTATACAGCTATCCAAACTCATAGAATGTAAAACACCAAGAGTGAACCCTAATGTAAACTATGGACTTTGGATGATTATGATTTGTATTCAATGTAGGTTCATCAGTTGTAACAAGTGTACCACTGTGGTGGGGGATATTGATAATGGAAGAGACTATGCATGTGTAGCGGGCAGCAGGTATACGGGAAATCTCTGTACCTTCTGCTCAATTTGCTATGAACTGCTCTAAAAAAATAAAGTCTATTTAAAAAATATAATCTAAAAGAAGGCAGAAAAAGGAAAAAGAATAAAAGGAACAAAGAACATATGAGACAAATAGAAAACAGCAAGATGACATATTTCAATCCAGTCATATCAGCTATCATTTAAATGTGAATGGTCTAAACAACCCAATTAAAAGGCAGAGATTGTTAGATTGACTAAAGAAGCAAGAGTCAACTCTATACTGCCTACAGAATCCCACTTTAACTATAAAGACAAATAGATTAAAAGTAAAAGGATGGAAAAAAGATATACCATGTTTACACTAATAAAAAGAGCTGAAGAGGATATAATAATATCAGGCAAAGTAGATTTCAGAGCAAAGAATATTACCAGGGATAAGGAGGGTCATTTCATAATGCTGAATACAAATACAATGAGTAAAGTACAAGATAAGAGCCCCAAACATTTATGAAACTTTTTAGAGAACTTTAGAATACATGAAACAAAACGAATAGAATGGTAAGGAGAAATAAATCCACAATTATATTTGGAGATTTCAACATACATCTCTCAGTAAGTGATAGACACTGCCCAACCGCAGCAGAATATACATCTCTTTTAAGTACACAAGGGACACTTAGCAAGATAGACTATAGTCTGAGCCATTAAATTTATCTCAAATTTTAAAAGATCCAAGTCATAGAAAATACCTTTTTGACCACAGTAAAGTTAAAATAAAACCAATAACAGAAAAATACCTAGAAAATGCCAAATACTTGGAAAACCAAATGAAACACTTATAAATCTATGGGTCAAACACAAAATCAAGGGAAATTAGAAAACATTTTAATGTAATTAAAATAAAAATGCAAATTATCAAAATTTGTGAGATGTAGTAAATGCAGTACTTAGAGGGAAAAAATGTCTTTGTTAGAAAACAAAAAGGTCTCAAATCAATGATGTCAGCTTCCAACTTAAACTAAAACAAGAAAAGCAAATTAAAACAGAAGACATAATAAAGATCTGAGTGGAAGTCAATAAATTAGACAACAGAAAAACAATAGAGAAAATTCAGTGAAACTTAAATGAAACTGAAAAGATTGATAAACATTTAGCCAGACTATTAAGGATAAAAAGAAGACACACATTGCCACTATCAGAAATTAGAGAGATGGCATCAGATATTAAAAGTATTATG